TGACAAATATGAAATAATCATTTCTGTCCTGTGAAGGCAGAGATCACTTCTGAGCTTTTTTGGCTCCACCTTTAGCTCCTGCTTTTCCTCCTTTTTCTCCTTTGCCTCCCTTTTCTCCTTTGTCTCCTTTGCCTCCCTTTTGTCCTTTGTCTCCCTTCTCTCCAGATTTCTTTCCTTTCCCATCACCAGCTTCTTTCTTGGATTCTCCCTTTTCACCTTTTTCACCCTTCTTTGTTGACGGATCCTTTTCATCTTTCCCCCCTTTAGCAGCCTTGCCATCCTTCTTTCCCTCCTTGGTCTTCTTATCTCCTTTATCCGCATCCACTTTGCCGGAAACGGTTGTCACCTCCTCTTTTTCTTCTACTTTCGCAGCTGTGGAAAACAAAAGAAAATCATTAAGGTATCATCTGGGTCCTGCCTGAAACGCTAAGTGGGAGGCAGATTTTAATCCAACTGAATGTGGAGCTAATTAGGATGCATTTAATTAATTTGCATCTGTTTCTATCTGTACTACTAAGCATGGTCTATTTATTTCTTAAATTGGATTGTTTGACGTAATTTCTCAGTGAGGAATTACACTAAAGTTTACTATCTGTTTTGTGTGAGTTACAGAGAACGTTTTTTTTGTTATTATTTATGAGGACGTATCATCGCTAACAGAGCTAGTGAGGATGAGTATCTTGGTTATAAGATAATATTTAATTTAATATTTACAACATTACATTTACATTACATTACATTGATTTAAGCTGATGCTTTTATCCAAAGCGACTTACAATAAGTGCGTTCGACCAACAAAATACAAACTTGAAGAAAACAGAATCATAAAAGTACATCAGGTTTCGTAGAGCTAAAACAATTCAAGTGCTACTCAACTGGCTTTAGATAAGCCAGTCCTTTGTTAGTATACAAGTGCTTTGTTAGTAATTGTATTGCGCAAAGTGCTCATTCCATTTTGGAGCCAGGACAGCAAACCCACGTATTTTTGCTGATGGGAACTTGGGTCAACCTCGTAGTGCGGGTGCAGCGAGCCGTTTGGCTGATGCAGAGCGGAGTGCACGCGCTGGGGTGTACGGTTTAACCATGTCCTGGATGTAGGAAGGGCCAGATCCATTCACAGCATGGTACGCAAGTACCATTGTCTTGAAGTGGATTCTTGCAGTTACTTGAAGCCAGTGAAGGGAGCGGAGGAGCGGTGTGGTGTGGGAACATTTTGGAAGGTTGAAGACCAGACGAGCAACAACAGAACAGAATACCAGTTCCAGACCTTAAAGAATAGTTTGACCTTTTCAGTAATATGTTGCTTTTTAAAAGTTTGATGAGACGATGGTTACCACACTAATGTCTGTTTGAAGCTACCGCTAGTAGTATGTTAGCTTAGCATAAAGACTATAGAGAACAGTCAACCGAGCTTTGTCCAGATGTTACAAAATCTGCCTAAAACATCCCTAAAGCTTATTAAGAAGATATAACTTGTTTGTTTTTGTACACAATTCTGGTTAAAAGGACATGAAGAGTATAATAAACAGAAGAAACAGTAACGACAAGACTAGGGTTTCTGCTCCTGAAGAGCAATAGTTCATCACATAACTTTACCTCACCTTTTGTATAAATGAGCAAAAACATTTTAGTGAGCTCTTAGTGTCTCCCCCTTTTCCTAGACTTTTTGCCGAGCGAAACTTGGTTGAAGTTACATTTTTAACAGACGGATAAAAGAGTTGTTTTGAAGTTTACATCATCCTTATAAAGAAGGCCATTAGGCATATTTTCCAAATAGGCCTAGATATAATATATTGTAACGTTCACAGATGGAGTCGGAAACAGGCTTCTAGTTATTAGGCTTTAATAATTCTTATTTTCTTTGAAGATCACAGGTACAGATATCACTTGCAGGTTCAACCTCACACTCTCTTAAGCTCTCACACACACACCTTTATAACCCAGACTACGTCACCACTTCCCGCCCTCCCCCGTCTGCTCCCCCAACCACAGGCCCGCCCTCAACCAGTATCCCGGTACAGCTCTATGATTGGCAGAGAGACGGGGGATACCTGAGTGACACCCTCAGCATCCTATCAGAGTCGCTACAATATTTTATAATAAAAAAGTTAACATAAACTATAGATGGATATTTTCCATGACTGACACTGCATATTCTTTGTGCAAATACACCCAAACGCATAAATTCATACATTCAAAGATATTTTTCAAACAGAATGTCTGCATGTGGAGATAGTACATGCTCGAAGGCTGTTTGGCTTAAGATGCAGAGCCTGTAGCTTCTTCTTTTGATACATTTTGCCAAGTCTCATTTGTTTGTAAACATATTCAAATAAATAAATCAAGTCATTGACAAAAATTCTAAGTTTTTCACTCCTAATTAATTTTTCGTTAACATTATAGCCAAAATACCCACAGCATTCTCTTTCAGGAATCACTTTCGACAGACCACCTTTCCACATGAAAGATGCACCTCTCAAATAAAGCTGACACTGAGCTAACAGGGTCCGACCGACCCCCTAAAATATATGAAACAGCCTTAGGCAGGAACGAACTAATTACATTTTATATTGAAAGAAACAAAGGTGTGATTTTACACTTCAGCAACTATTGTTTAAAAACTGTGAAAATTGCCCAAAGGACCGGCTCCAGTCGGGGCCAAACTTTTTTCTTGGACTCTTTTTTCCAAGAGCCAAGCAAACATTTCTTAGGTGCTCTACAAATGCTGCAGAGACACTGGATACACAAACGCAGGCCAAAAAACCAAATGACAAACACACACCAAATGTCAAACTTTGCCAGAGGGGTCAGAGTAAACCTGAAATTATTTTGGTCCTGTGTTTCCCTGTGTTGGGTTAATCTAGTTGTCTTAGAATAATCAACCAACCATCAGAATGTTTGTGAATAGATGTCTTTGTGTCTACAAATCTTATCCTCGGGCATTTCTCCTCCGCTCATGAGCTCTTTTTTGTTGCCCTGTTTCTTTATATAGCCTACCAGTCAGATTTAGACACAACTCGGAGGGATGAGGCAACGGGTTATAGAGTAGGTTGGTGATGGGAAAATGAAGAGCTGTAATTAAATGTCAGAACTTGACATTGTTTGACATCCACATTGTTCTAATTTCGGTCAAACTTTGAGTGCTGATGCCATGAGTTTCCATACTGTGTGTAGTAGAGGAATACATAAAGGTTAACATTGCCCTCTACAAAAGGCCTTAACCCTCACAGCACCTTTAAATGTTTAAAGTTCAGCTCAGATACTGCTGGTAGAATCTTTTTAAAACCTGGGGGCACAGGGCATTGTGACATTGTGACATTTCAAGGAAATCCCAGCTCAGTCTTACTGACAAAATTGTAAATGTAAACAGAAGGGATGCTTCTACTAGCAACAAGCTGTCTTACTTATATAACAAATATTTCCAACAAATATGGTTTTCCTCCTGAGGAACAAAGCAGGACTTGTAACTAGACCAAATTCCTTTTCACAAGTCCGTCACTCATCAGTTGGTGTGCGATGAACCTTAAACGACCTTCTGTCCATTCAGAGCTATAGCAGACAGATGTTTCAGAAAAGGTGTTTGAGTTGTTAAAAACAACAGCTGAGACTGTTCGGCTATAATAAGAACTTCTTCCTTTTCAGCCACTTGAAATCATGCAATTTGAACTGTGAACCAGCAGGTCTGGTGGGAGTTGATGGCAGATAAGGGAAGGTAGTAAAAAGGAGGGATTGATTCGCAGCTCTGGCTTTTTCTCCTTTGTATGTAATGCTTGTGAGGAGAAGGGGGCTGTTAGACAGAGAATAAGCCTGTGTGGCTTCCTTCTCTCTATACCCTGGGCAGCAACACATATTGGCCGTTAAATTGGTTAGCTTTCATTTCTCCTACTTTGTTCCAGATGCTCTTGACAGCCAGGTAAGAATGTGGAAAACAAAGTTCAGAGAAATTGTTAATGGGAAATGTCACATATCTGAATGGTGCAAAAACAAAGGATGTTTTTTCTGCAAACCCTTTATCAGATTGTACTACTGTTTTGTGTGAAAAAATGTATTCATGCATACATCCCATAGATAAGAGTGGGCATTTTTTTAAACCTCATTTGTCACACAAATGATCTGCTTTATTTAGTTTTTTTCGTTCTGATTGTTCTGGTTTGCCTAAGTGCGCTCTGCTTTGCATAATCAAGCCCTCTTTTAAAAAGAAGAAAAAAAGAAAAAGGCTTCTGATTATGAATTTCATTTTATTATTTTTTTATGTGCTCGTCTGGTTTGTCAGATATTATTGCATAATGTATTTCCCGTGTACTTTAAGCATGACATAATCACTTATGCAGTTTGCATCTTTGCATTAGATTTCTATTTCCCTCATCCTTAGTTAATGCAGAGGCAACATTACAATACGGTTAGTTTGGAGTTCATGGTTGAGAACAGATAGCAAATATGTTCATCCTTATTATGTGTTAATAATAAAGGCCTCCCCTCTCCCAGAGGCGCACGGTTGATTAGTTTAATTAGTTATAGAGTTACAAAAAAGGATTTAATCCAATGCGTATTATATTATCTCCTCAGACTACACTATTGCAGATATATGAACGCTCTCACCACAGTAGGTTTAGCATGCGCACCCCCCACCCTCTAAGGCAGATCTTGTTTGACACAGTTATCATGCAAGAAAAACTTATTGACAGCTCAATGCTTTCCCTTCCACCTTTAACGACTCAAAAACCATTGAATGTATTTTTGCACATGAATGCGTAACATATCAACCCGAGGAGCAGACAGACGTCAGTCCTATATTTGTCACATTTCTTAACCTGAGAAAAACCCAGCTAAGCAGCTAAGATGTCTGAGATGTGTAAACAAGGCAACACATAATATTCCTGAGAAATAGGGAGAGAGAGAAAAAGAGAAAGGAGAAGTAAAGACCAGAACATTAAAAGACAGATGAGGCCGATGTCGCTGACACCAATGATCGTACAATTAACACGGCTGGATGTTGTGTGAGTGATTTGCTTTATTCAAAGCTAAACCAAAAGAGAGCAACCAGGTAGGTTGGAAGACAGAAATACACAGAGCACAGACATCATGCTGCATGCATTACCATTTTCACAGCTTACAGTAATAGCAATTTTCCATACTCAAAGTTATATGCTCTGAAAATGTCCACTCAAATATTAATGAAGCAGCGTGTAATCTATATGAAACACATCTTTTAAAATAGAAAGACTTAAAAAATACAAAAGTCTAACCTGCAAATGTGTAACCTAATTTGCAAAAGCATGACAATCTCTGTTTTGTAGTCAAAGTTAAAGATGTCATTTCTTCTGCACATACGGAGTTACTGCTGCTGGACTACTCCACCACAAAGCAACATTTGCAAAGTTCAAACTCTATTTTCTGGCTATAGATTTCTAAAGTGATGTGGTTGAATGAGTTACTTGTTTGCCTGAATTTCTCTTGCAAGATACGGAAAATAGCATTTAGGAAGACCAGATGGATGTGTGTTGCATGAAGGGGACTTTTAGAGTGGATACTTTCATGTGCACCATTTACTTTAAAGTCACTTAGCCAAGAGAAAAGTCTGCAGGAAGATAAGGGAAAAAGAAGAAGAGGGAAACATTCATCCTGTCTCTGGCAAGGTGAGAGAGCCGGGTTGCTCCTCGCTGACTCTAACTATTGAGAGTTGGCTGCCGGTGGCACTTTGAGTTTGGACCTGCTCAGAGACTGTCTGAACTGCAGATGCATCTGGGGCAGCTGGAAGAAGAGAAGAGAAGGAAAGAGAAAAGAAGAAGAGAGAAGAGGAGAGGAGAGGAGAGGAACTTTAATTCAACACAGCAAAAATAATTGAAACAAGTGCAGCAAGTTGTGAGGTGAGAAGAAGACACAGTGAAAAAGTGAAAAGAAATTAAAGTTAACAGATGTTTTTTTATAGATAGAAAAGCTATCCAGGTAGCCTTAACATCAAAATGAGCAAAGAGTCTTGCAAGACCTTTGGGTTGAAAGATAAACAGTGTTCATAAAAACACGTCTCTTCTCATAAATAGAAACCAAGATCCAGAGCTTAACAAACAAATAATTGTTAATCCTGTTTTCCACGCCTCTACAGTGTGCTTTTGTGCAAAGCAATCATACTGGCTTAAGGGGGCATTACGTATATACAATGTGGTTTATTATTGCTACAGGGCAACAATGTATGATACAGTCTTGTTTATTGTTACTTAATTTTCTTATTCTACTTATTTTATTTGGTGCCACAGGCAATTGAAGTTTCAATAAGCAGCTTCAAACCGTGGCAGGATAAAAAAAACAGTTAGAACCATTTCAGGAAATAGCTTTTGTATCGTGGCTTGTTAATATGACCCATTTATATTGGAAATACATTATAGAAAGGTACTTACATCCTGGGATCTCAGTCAGCTCATTAAGAGGTGGCACTGTCTCTAATGTGTTGGCGTATTTCTTGGCGGCCTGTCTTTGCACATTTCGTGCTTCTATTTCCTTTTTGGTTCTTGGAATTCGACATTTGAATATACAACACAGAGTGATGACTGAAAAAGAGAGAGAAAGAGGGCGGGGGAACAAAATGAATTCATTAGGAGAGTCTTAACAATTTCAACATCCTATCTGATGACAGGTTTAGGTGTTTTTCTGTCACTTGAATACATCTGAAAATGATCATGACTTTCACAATTGTGTTTTATAGTGAAATATCTCAACAACTGTTGGGTAGATTTGATATCAATGTTTGGTTCATTTCAATGGCTGATAATTAAAGTTTGAGTAAGCACCATTAGCAGGTCAAATATTTGTATTTGTTTCATTCACACCCGCAAAACAAATGTTGTGCAAAAGATAGTCAACATTACCATTGTGCGCATGTGAACTTGATAAACTAAAGATTCACAAAGCTTTACACGTCTGCAGACCTGATAAAAATGCTAATGTTAGTCCTTTGCGATCGATTCAATTCAGAGATGTCAAATACCTAGCAAATCAAATCAAAGCTACCTGCATGGCTTGATCTCACTAGAATAATGTAACTTATAGGAAAGTGTCTAACATATAACGTATGCCAATTCCACATTGCATAACAGTGCAAGTATGTTCTCTTTCCTTAGTTGCTGCTAGTGTGACTCGCTGCTGGAAACCCCCTGCCTTTCCTGAAAAATATCTGTATCATTACTTATCAGATTGTGCTTGATAATCACACTGAGGCAGATAATTGCATGCATCAACATATTTGGCCTGCAGTTATTTCCCAAGTTTTCAGTCTACTTGAAGAATAGTTTGTGGAGGTTTAAAAATATATTTCAAGAGGTATACTAACTTATTGCTAAAACAAACACGGAAAAGATGGCAATGACCTGCCATAACCGCAGCCCCCAGAAAACAACAGACTCTGAGGTGATGGGGTCCGGCTTCTTCGGAGGATCTGTGGGCAACAACTGTGGAAAAAGAGACAGATTTTTTGAGTTTCTTCATCTGCCCCTTACACATAAACCTTTGTTGGCCTATTTCTGTAAGGGACAATTCCATGATTTGATACTACATAGTTGACATAGTCATCACATTTATTTTATTTCTAACATTTTTTTCAAAACATTAGCAACAAAAAGGTGAGAAGATCTTCAGCATCTATTCAGCCTCTCAACTTTCCCTGTGGTCTTTGAACAAAGTTCAGTTTGCTTGTGTGTGTGTGTGTGTGTGTGTGTGTGTGTGTGTGTGTGTGTGTGTGTGTGTGTGTGTGTGTGTGTGTGTGTGTGTGTGTGTGTGTGTGTGTGTGTGTGTGTGTGTGTGTGTGTGTGTGTGTGTGTTAGATCGATGGCTTGGATCACTGTTTTTTTTGTTGGAGCCAGCAGAAAATTTGTTTGTTGATATAATCATTGTGAGGAGTTCTCCCTATCCTGTACTGTATATCGATCCCTTGATTGGATGATACAAGGTTGCTTTGGAAACTCTACACTTTAGTCCATAAACATACAGCAATGTATCAGCTAACACTTATTACAATTGCTGCCTTTACTGATAACACCATTATGTGCTGAAACTAAAAAAAAATATCTGAGAATAGCCTGTCACAGTGGTGGAGCAAACACTTAGGGACTGAGGCTCTGCAAGAGGATAAGAAATTAAAAGGAACTATTTCGCTTTGGTAGAAATACAGTAAAAATAAAAACACTATTTATGTGTGTTTAATGTAACATATACTGTATACCTACACAGTATATACATACAGTATAGCAAGAAACCATTTGCATGTAAATGTTGACCATATGTTTCAAAATTACGGAGAGAAAACATTGCAATCACACGGAAGTATTGTCTTGATGCATTGAGGACAACTTCACCAAATATCAGCAGATTTTACAAAGAGCTTTGTTTTTGCACCGTTTCCAACATTTCCATGTGCATTTTCCTTGGTGCCATGTGAGACTCCAAGCAAGAAATGGGCAAAATGAAACATTTTCAACCAGTTTTTGATGTTTGTCAGACCTGATGGCTTCAGCTAGACAACATGTGACATGTGACAGCACAGTGTGTCTTCAGGGCCTCTGTGTGTCTGCTGAGGAGGACACAAGAAGGACTGTGAACTTGAAATAAGAAACTGCACGAAAAAATGATCTGAATGACTTTACACTCGTGTTTGTCCAACTCTCACAGAAGGATTAGCCTTGATGGGGATATTTGGAGCTTCTCTTGAATAATAACAATTTTTGCATCAAGAACGATTATATAATGCTGAATCCTTTCCTCTGGGCCATCTTAGTGGACGGGATTAGCAGTTATAAGCCTCAAGTCTTCTGGTGGAATAAACAACACAAATTCAGAAGATTATTGACCTCAAATGACCTTTGTTTACCATTTTATACCCAAATGTATAACTAATTGTGTTGGATGGTTGGTTGGTTGGATCATTATATTCTTCCTCTATAGAGATGTTGCTTTGTTTTTTAAGAAGATCCTTATCGAGGAAGATTAGTATAATAGAATGGAGGATTAATATCTAAAAATAGAAAAACCAGCATTGGGTTACAGGTTTAGTTATGTGTATTATAAAAAGACCAATTATAAAACATTGACTCACAATAAGATTACTTTACACTGGATATTTGCAATCGTGTGCCATGCTTACCACATTAAGATTATATTTCCTGAAGTGTCTATAGTTTGTTTCATTATACAGCCACAGATTCTGGTTTACTTGAATAAAATCTTATATGTTAGACTCTTTTGTCAGTAATAATAATATAGTATTTTATATTTTGAGTCCTGTTTCTACATGGGCGAGTAGCCAAATTGTCTATTTTTCAGAGGCAGAATAATTTCATGGTTTGTTTGAAGTCAAATCATTGTAGTAGTCAAATTCTTTACAATGTAACCCCCTTCAAAACAACTTGTGGTAGCACAACTCGTCATGTTTGCACCCATAAAAAACACGTGTCTCGGCTATATGTAAGAGTATATAATGTATCAGGTTTCTACAAATGTTCCCTCTCTTTTCATCAATAACACAAGCAACCGCTCAGGCAACCAAACAACAAGTAGAAATTACATAAATCAACCTTATAAACGGCAAACACCTGCACCCATCACAGAAACCCCTCAGGATAGTCCATCCTCAGAGGGGACCTGTGGAGGACACAGTGCAGTATCAGGCTCTTACCTCAGGGTCCGGGACCTGGGAGAAGACGGAGGACAGACACTGAGACAGCAGCAGAGCGCCCCGCAGCAGGGGCTGAGATGGACATACAGGCTGATCCCCAAACATTCTCTCCCCCTCTTCCTCCCTACAGCCACCCTGCCCCCTCTGTCCCTCTGCCTCTTCCTCTCTTCTTCTTTATCTCTGTCTGCCTGCCTGCGCTGGCGCCGTGGAGAGGACAGGACCACAATGGCCCTTTGGTGATTAATGGTGACTATGTTGCTGACGCCTTCCTCCCATCCACAGTTGTCTGCTGCTCTGCTACTCTTATTTTATGCCTTTCCTCCCCTCAACACTGCAGGAACACCAGACTGGCACACGCCACTGCAGGCAGCTGAAAACTGCTCCACTACTATGCAGGGAGCCAAGCCTGCAGTTGGGGTACATTAATTAATCAATAGCCCTGGTGTGGTTTACAGTCAGCTCATCCTGCCGGGGACAGGCCGTGTGCACAGTGTGGGGGGATGGGCGCTGGGCAGTGCAGTTAGCCATGAGGCTGGCCTGCGCAGGACACTGAAACAAATGGCTGTGAGCGTCATCATTTTTATTACCTTAGAAACTGGAGTGTGAAAATGCTCACAGCCTCCCCCCTTCTCTGTGGCAGAATATGTGCCAAGGTGCTGTAGAACAAGTGTTTCCAATATGACTAAGGAAAGAGCAAACAGGTCAAATGGTCATATGTGTTTGTGTAGTAGGTGGGTGATGTTAACGTATGATGTTTCCAGAGATTGAAACAAATTTGAATTTAATATAAGATTCCTCAACAAGTTTCCAATTTAAAGTCAACGAGTTGTATTTAAAGATCATAAAGAATAAGAAAGTATGTAACAAATTGCAAATCTGTTTATTATTTTTGATGTATCTTAAATGTTACAGGTTGTCCAGATAATAGGGGTGGCTCTAAATTGTTCGTACAATGCTGTATGTGGTTAAAAATACATAATTTTCTAATTCCGTGTTTTGCTTATAAATTATTTATCTATTATCTACACCAGACACAGCAGTGCACAAGATAGAATGACAATATTATGCTCTCTCTGAAAGGCCCCAAAACAAATTGAAATAGATTAAAGTGGTATATCGTATATAAAGTGATATTCCAGTAAAACTAAATTGTAATTTAAGCATTTCACAAAAATGTGTATGCACCAGTTGCTTGTTTCTGGGTAATTGTTTCTATTTCTTTACAAGCCGCAAGAAGTTCTCTTCTTTTCACCTTACGAGTTTGTCTATGTACAGTTTGTGTGACCGCAATTACGTCACAATGATGTAAGATACAGTCACTAAACAATACAGATGTGTAGTTAAGGTCAAAATGAATATGAAAAACAATCGGAAGTGCCATCAAAAATGGCTCAAAATGGCGTCTTGACAGTGATACCGTCACAAGGTGATGGTTTAGCTCTATTAATGGGTAACTACCAAAGCCTGAGTAATATATCTGTCCTTTAACTGATAAATGCTATATTTATCACTTTTATGCCAACCTTGCAGGGCAGATAGTGTTTTCCCTGAAAACAGCATTTTGCTGCAGCTGGACATGCTTACGATGCTGAGTTTGGACCAACATTAATATCATGTTCTTTAAAAGTACAACCTGTCCATTTGAACAGATCATATTGCCAGGAGGTACTTTGGCACCAACCTCATCTCAACTTCTATTGTGAATTTAAAATCCAATTTTCAAACCCATACTATAATGGCCAGACTTGATACATGCCTGCAGATTTCAGTAAAATAACTGCATTCAACTGCCTGAAGCACCCTGTTGAGGCATGCATCAAGCATCATCCTCACTACAGGTCTAAAAGGTGTATTATATAGTATTACATGGCCTTTTTTCATAATAGCACCATCGAGCCAACTTTACTTGGTCCTGGGTAAATCTTTAATTAACAGTGAAAATTGATCTTCTCTACACATATTAGACAATTTGGCTCACGCATTAATCACAAAACTTGGGCACTATATATTGTGTGAATTGATCCAGGAGAAATCACTTGACCATATGTAGCACACTTTAATCTGGCTTCTAAGGGTTTTGGTGATAATGGGAACCCTTATCCTCAGCCTTAGCCTCAGTCGGAAACAGCTCCCAGTGATTGGCTCTTGTCGGAGGTGTTGGATGCAATCACCACAACAGGACTATGGAATATAAAAGAGCCTGCTGTGTTGCTTGAATAAAGCTTAGGGTTTTGAATTTCTTGTCATTACATTATTTGAGAATAGATTCGGTTTTTGTAGCTTGGTTTGTCAAAGTTAACAATACAATAATAAGAGAGGTGTTAAAATAGTGTTCTGTCCTGGCATTTTATTTGTCTTCAATGGAGGTTTAAAGACATTAAGCATCCAATTTACCCCCTTTTGAAATTAGATGTCTATCCATATTACGGCTACTTAATCATTTAAATGAAAATGATTGAGAATTGAGAATACATTATTTTATCATCATCACCAATTCTGTATTAAGAATTGTGTGGGAAATGTACACTGGCTAAATAGCTCAACATAATACAAATTATAAAAATACACCCAGAGCCGGCCCGACCCATAAAGCGACATAAGCGGCCGCTTAGGGCCCCGCAGCCACTAAGGGGCCCCCTGGCAACAAAAAAAAACATCTCAGTACACCATCGCCGTGATAAGTATGTTTAGTTAATTGTGTTAATATGCCTAGATTGCCTACTCTCAAAGTCATGTATTATATTATTGAGTCAATAATATAATACATTAACCGTGCTTTACCTGAACCTCATCATGACACTAGAGAGGACGGTAGGATTGTAATTTCCCGTGTTCTGTGAATGCAACAGAGGCAAGACACCAGACCAACCTGAGAGTTGAATGGAAATAAACATCTGTCTTATTGGCTCACAGGTACCCAGTGGCGTCGCCTGGCCTGGGCATTCAGGGCTTTAGCCCCGAATGTTTTTTCCCGGACAATTCTCCCTCAATAATATAATACATTGACCGTGCTTTACGTGAAATTCATCATGACGTGACCATCATGTCGACCCTCCGGTTCGCGTCGGGCCGAACCACGCCCCTTAGCTGTGATATAATGAGCATATACCACGGCCTGTCGCAAGCTATTGCTTAATTATAACATAATGAGAGACGTTCTGCAGTAAGGAGGGGCGTTTCACCGACGGACGAAGAAAAATCTGTTTACAGTTCTGTTTCATATGGGTGTTGAGAGATGTATCCATAGATCTCTTCATTTTGCCCTCAAAGTGCACCAGATTGATGCTTTTAACTGCAATATTTAAAAAAAAAAGTCTTCCCGGGGGCGCATGCCCCGGACCCCCCAAGAGGAGGTGAGGACCCCCCTAGAGGAGGTTAGGTTAGGTGTTTACATGTTTATTTATACAATATGTGTGCTTATGCTAACATCATAAGACAAAAGTTGGTTCTGTGTTGTGTGTAGTGAGAACGCGCTAGAGTGAGGGGGGCCCCCAAGCCAAAGCTCGCTTATGGCCCCCATAAGTCTAGGGCCGACCCTGCCTATAGCCTACCAGCATTCAGGCATTTTGTATAATTAATTAATTGTTTTACTTTAGAGGTAATCATTCAAATCAATTTTTTTCCCACATTACCGTAGTAAGAGAAATTAAATTAAACATTAAGGAAGTATTGCAAAACACAAGAAACATCAATTAAAATAAGCAAAATACAACACAAATAAGAATGAAATCATATTCAAAATAAGTCCAATATATCTGGATAAAAATGTGTACAATTCCCACGACGCCAGCCTCTAAAGAGACATGGGCAACCTGTCGGAAATACGCCGTCTAGCCACATTTTTTAACCGTTTAAGATACCGTTTAAGTTACCTTTTAAAGTTACAGAAATATACATAGAAAGAAAGAAAGGTTTTCTATTATTTTATTTGAGTTTTACCTCTTTTGTTTGACTTGTTTTGACTATTGTAATGGCCAGTTTTCTTTGTTGAATGTGAAAATAGTTTATTTTATTTTGAGTGAACGGTTGAAACACATCACCGGAGGCCAAGCAAGTCATCCAAACGTAAGTACAACACATCTTATTGAAGGAAACGCGTTAGAAATGTCTGTAAAAGGCGTCGAAGTGGCTTGGATAGAAAGCAAGGAAGACAGAGAACTCGTGTTCCTTTTCAAGTCTTTATGCTAAGACAAATGTAGATTGGTCTTCCATCCCAGCTCTCGCAAGAAAGCAAATAACGCTTTGTTAAGTTAAATTAGGAGCAGAATACATTATGAAGGCAAAATAATAAAACTGTGATGACTTTATACGTCCTGGTTTCAGCTGACCCTGCATTAGGGAAATTAACTTAATTTATTTTATAAAAGATAAGAAACCAATTTTACAGTGCATTGATATCAGAGACTTTGTGCCCTTCAGATATTCCCGGGCCGTGACCCTACAGCTAGACAATCATTCAGTGGTGACGTCACTGACGTGTTCGTTTTACACAGTAAATACAGAAGAACTGTGTGAGTCACAGAAACAGACTGAGACAGTGATGGGCTATACAAAGAAAAACAAGAGGACAACAACAGGGAGAAAAGGAGGCTGCAGTCAGTAAATCTTGCCTTTCATGGACTATGAACGCTCTTACATGCAGATGAGATTATAACAAAATGACATCACCGCCTCAGCCTTGGCAATAATCACAGACAAGCACACATTTTGGTGATAGAGCACACATACCATGTCATCAGCCTTATTCCTCCAGGGTTTGGAGACCGATTAGGACATCATCCAGTTCTGTGTCTGAATCTGTGGAGGACTGTCCAGTTTAATGCCAAGAGTAAAGCGATGAAGCCATTTGTTTAAATCTCACATGTAGCTCCTTCAGAACCGAGGCGATGCATTCATTATCATTCCTCTTTCTGTTCTTTCTAATTACCATCTTCATCCTAATCAGCACTCTTGGGCTCCTCTGTCTGTGACCGTCTATTTCCTTCTATCTGGCTCTCTTCAGAACTCGTATTTTGTATTTGCAGTGCCAGTCCAGCTTTAATACGAATTGATCTCATGTGCGCTGTGATTACATTTTGCCTTCCCGTTTGAACATCTTATCTGTGGTCATGCAGTCATATAAAAGAGGATTATTGTGTATTTGCCTTTTGGATAAAGCAACAGTATTAAACCCTAAATGCACCAAAAAACACCACCTGAGTCCCCACCTGCATTTGTGATCTGCCCACTGCCAACCCAGAACATTGTAATGTGCAAACAGGTCCCTGACTTTGTTTTGCGTCAAGAAAAATCTGAAAAAAAGCTGCTTAAATCAATATGTTTTTATTAAAAAGGATCAACATTTTTTCCTTATTGTTATTTCAAAAATGATGTTGTTGCCATCTCTACTCAGGATCTTGCTCTCACATGCAAACCAACAGCTTTTTAGAGGGACAATGTTTCCTGACTTCCATGTAATGATTTCATCCTGAATGTGTCACACTGGGCTGCAAACAGCATCATCACACAGTGTTGACACAGTGTGATGATGCCTATGCAGGGGCCAATTATAGACGATATACAGTGTGATCTCTACTCTGACCCTTACTTATAGCCCGAGGCTCCAGGTGAGACATCAATGAAATGAAGCCTCTCCACCAGAGCCTTATTCTCAGAGGAGCTCAGCGCTGCAGAACGCTCTTGGAATCCTTATTACTTTAATAGTGGAGAGTGCAAGTTGATGCAGTGCGTTGAGTTAAGTCTAGATATTTATTACAGTTAAATGGACTAAAGCGTGGAAGCCGTAAACAACCATGACCGACATGGTGACTGACTCTGATTCAGTCCATACCTTTTTGGCCCAAGATGTTTTTCTTATAAAACAATCTCTTGTGTTTGTCGAGGATACGTTTTTCTTTTTATCAGACTACCTGTTGCTGTGCTCAAGATAATACATCTTTAAAGCTTTTCTCTCCCCAGAGCTAAAACGTGAATTATATTCATCACAGGCTTTTTCCATCTCTTTGAGCAGCTCATCAAAATACTGTATAATGTATGATACTGCTTCACAGATGATTCACTCCCTGTTATGTTTAATATGTCAAGAGAAAATGAGGATTTATATTCTCGGCGGCCAAAACAAACGAAAAGCCAAATCCCATCAAACACCCCTCTAGGTTTGATTCAGGACTAAATACAAATAAATACTTTATGTAACTATATGAAATGCAGTCATTGAAACGAGGCAGACTGTTCAAAATGCGTCTCTTCCCACTATTTTGCTCTGCTTTACTTCGTTTGAACATTCAAGTTTTGGTATACTTGTTTCAACCACTCGCAACCAACGTCATTGTTTGTGTTGCATTTAAGCATCTTGCATGTCGTCCAGCGGGTGAGTAATGAAGCTTTAGGATGGCTTTTTGGAGGAATAGTTGTGTCATTTAAGCCTCAAACTTAACACTTCAGATGTCTCCGAATGTCTTGCTGCTGCACAATGTTTGGGACAATATTGCCTTTTCATAAAGAGTTTATTTTGTGATAATTGCTTTACTTCACTGTCCCTTAAATCAGTATTTCTTGTTTGTGCACATATCTGTCAGTGCTTGGTAATACTGATGAGTTACGATGTTGTTGATCCTGTTGTTGGTTTCAGGGTGTTGCACTCCCTCTGATTTGCCAATTGGTGATTGATGGTGGTCATGCCGTCTGACTGCTTGCTTATTTATGCTTGTATGCTGCTGTGAACAACCAATGTGCACAATGTGTGTCTAACTAAAAGGAAAGCAGTCTCTGAATTTATGGATGTCCATCCTTTACATTTCCCGAAAACTGTTCATTGAATCAACTTCATAGGCTGTTATACTGAGATCTACAGTTAGTTATTGTTAAGTAGTGTGTACAGTAGTGAATTGAGATAAGACCCCTATTTACTGTTTCTCTGTTAAAGGTATTTTCCCGTGGTAGGTTTGAGTCCTATTGGTTTAGTGTCATGGCTCTTCGGCCATAACAAAAACAGGAATGGACACAGTGCATGAGGGTCAATTAATATAATAAAGCAAACTTATAAAGAAATATTTACCAATATGAGATGTTTAAGTCTGTGACATCAGTAGTGTTGATGTGAATTTGTGAGCATAATGTATTGCAAGGTGTTATATGCAAAAACCAATGACAAAGGCCAAACAGGTAGCTGCTCTCAGGCAAAAGAGAGAGAGAGCAGCTCTGGATCAGGGCTTTTAACATTGGGAGCGCAGCAACCATGTGTTTTCAATCAGGCGCTCTCATGATTATGAAGGGAAGACCATCTATTTCTATTTATTTTGCTTTTTTCTAACAGGGGCAGGTCATATAAGATTTTTTTTCTTCTCCCTGCTCCTTTTCGCTCAATGGTGTGTTTGTAGAGACATGTTTTGTTGGCAATTATTGTACATTGGGTTTTACGTACCATGAGCGGGACACATAAAAAATGAAATGAAATGAAATGATGATCCGTGTTAAGACAAGAAGGAAATCAGGTAAAAACTATTAGAACCGAGAAGTTAGGCAGGGGTCGTCACGTTGGTATAATCTGAACTTGGGGTACTTTTACCGAAACGTACACACAAATGGCTGGGATACTTATTTCCACCACCCTCGCTCACTTGCTGCTAACAGCTGCTTTATTTTATACAGCCTTCACCCTTCCCTCATGGCATCCATCTGTAGCCATTTCCCTTAAGTTAAAACACTTAGCCTTATCAATCCTTATTTATTTTGTGCTAAGCTTGGCATTTGCTTGTGGATGATCATGAAGTCAAGCAAAAATGTTTTCCATTAAACACAAGCTTGACTATATCTATGAGCTTTAATTCTAAGATATCAGAAGTATAACAAACAAGCGAAACTTACAAAGGTCACTCAACTAACAGACCTAAGAAGACAAAACGTCTCGCATACAGATCCACTCAGGTCAGAGAGCACAGCCATGAGCTTTCTCTGAGTTTTGAGAAGCATACTTTGCACACTGGAGCCAATTAAAGTGCCTCAAATTGCCCTCAGACTCTGTGTTGTTTATCTCAGCTCAACACTCATTAAAAATATTTCAAAATATCAGGAATACTCGATCTTACCTACAAATATCATTCGTTTTGTGTCTAGCTATTTAATTTTGATCTTTTGCTTTAATTTTCACATTCAAATATTGTATATGTCTGGATAATGCAACCTGTACGCCGATATGGCATCATTAGCGTCTTTACAGATTTGTCTCATCACACATTTTTAAGCCTAAAAACAGAGATTGAACATTTTATATTCGACAGTATGAACCAGTTTAATCACATGTGAGGAATAGTTTCTATAAATCAGTAAAGATTTACGGGCGGAAAGTCTCCTCTAATTAATGGAAGTTGAAACCTCATGCTGGGTTTGGCTTTGAGGCTGTCACAAACAAACTTGACACACACTTTTAAATGATTTATTGTTGTATTGAACACAGATTGCACTTGCGACACAAACACAAACACACACAAACAAACACACAGCTGATGCAGTGGTTTCTCTCACATTGGGAAGATGACCCGTTGTCACGCGAACCGGCTTCTCCTTTCAGCATTACAGCTGCGTTGTTACAGCGAGAAAAACTAATGGCGCACTAATGATACGGAGCCTTTTGTATGTAGCTGGTATTTATTAACACTTCCACTGGGTAAACTGTATGTACCTATGAAAAAATGAAGGATATCTATTTGTGGTGTTCGTGTGAATGCGGATGGTTTTTGCACCCATGGGCAAAATGTGAAGATTTTGTGTGCTGATACAACAAGCAAAAACAGATATGACTCATGGCTCAAGAAACACCACGCAACTCATTATGGTTAACTTAAGCACATATTTATTTCCTTTACAGTACCTTTGGTAATATATTCTTGTAATCAGGAATAAACTCATTAACAGGATTAATTGAAGAAGGTGAAGTTTCCGGCACTAAGTGATGCTGTGCAAAGAAGCTCTTGCATAATGATTAGACATTTATAAATAATGTAAACAAAAGGGCTCAGTCAGTAAATATAGGTTGGAACAATGCTCTGGGGTTGTTCATAGACACCTTGATGTGGTGCATAATTTCTTGATGAACAAATGAATTTGGCTGCCACAGACAATGAAGGAGTGACGATAGCAGAGATAAACATATCGTACTTACTAAAGAAAAATAAAACCTATTTATCTAGATTATCTAGTTTGAATATAAGTGGAATATACCACCCAGCACTGGATATTCAAGCAGTTGCTTTTCCAAGCTGAATACAGGCTGAAGTTAGTATCCTCCATATTTAACTTTTACATGCTCTGAGGTAAACAGCAATACAAAGTGATAGGAGGCTAAAAGAAACTCTAAAGCACACAGTCTGAAATTAAATTGAGTCTGTTTGCAATAACTGTCATCTGCAAGATATTATGAGCATGAAACATTAGTAGAAAACGTTTTTATCCAAAAAAAAAAAAAATGTCAAGGTTACATTTTTCACCAAGACAAGTAAAAGTGCAGTCCATTAACAATCACAATGGCTTCAATGACACCCTAATGAGTCTTACTGGAGCCTTTCTGCCACCTGGCGTAGAGAGTACAACTGGAAAAACTCTGCTCCTGTGATCTTCTAGTAATACACAACCAACAGAAACAGATTTCCTCCATCACAAGCGTCACAGTGAGAAGTTCAGACAGGATTTGTGGCTACGTTTATGTGCGTCCTGTGCTTCCTCATCTCTGAAGAATGTCCTTGATGGGACTTTGTGGAAAAAGTCTAAAGAACATTCTGAGCAGTAAAGAAATAATGGCACCCTCAGCTGAAGAAACTAGTAATAAAGGAACAGATGCAAACACTCGACTTTATAGTGCTTAGGCAAACATAGACACATACACATTTTTGGTGTACATTATGTAACCCTCAATAGTTATCAAATCCTTTGCGGTTTCTAGAAGGCCTAACTCCGGTTCCTGCTGAACTGAGCCAGTGTTTGTTTAACATCAAACTGTTATCAGCTCAGTAGGCACAGGAGATTGAGCCCAGGCACCGTCTCCCCCTCACCACAAGGGGAAGCAAAAACCAGATATACTGCAGACTATAAGGACGTCTGGAGGTCTGGACATAACAACAAAACCCAGACACTGTCTCACTTACCTCAACAGCCAGTATCCCTAAAATGCATTACATTCATCTTCTAAATGTGTTAACTGTGCTTTTTAGTACATTTAGTGAACCAGAACTTTGAATCATTGAAATAAAACAACCATTGTCAACACCACATTTGATATTCAATACACTACTGTACAGGAGAAGGCTGAAATATAAAGGACACATTTGCAATACACTCAAAAACAGATACCACTATAGCCACTATACCAATATTGCAAATAATACACAAATGTTTTCACTAATTTCTGCTTTTGCATTCATATTCATTTGAATTATTTGTCTCATGTTATTTGATAATGTTTGTCAAAATCATTATTGCGCTGTAAAGCTTGCAAACATTACAAATAAAACAGAATAGTAAGACAATATTGTGTTACATACAAAAAGGTAAAAAAAAAAGTATGATTATAACGTTGAATGAAAGGAACATTCAAAACAAATATTAAACATGAAATCAGAAATTTGGTTTAAGGCCTAATGAACATTATAACCTCTTAATTGGGAAACACTTAAGGGGGTCCTTAACACAAAACTACACGCACACTTGCTGTTAGCAGCATTGTTTGGTCAATCACCACGGGCATTTACCAAAGTCTCTTTCACTTTTTTCCCTACATACCAAACATGGGTAACTGCCTGCACACACACATGGATACACACAATCAATGCTCTGCTTTCACGACCACCCGGACAGTAAATGAGTGAAGGAATCACAATTACATCGCTACTTGTTTTCCTGATGGGACATTTCCTGTACTTCCTTCCTGAATGAGTCAGGCCTCACTTCCCTGCCTCCTTCTCTTACACATCTCTCTTTATCAGGATCCTCGTCTTCTTATTCTTCTCTCAGCGTGGACCAATTACGCTGTTTTTCCAACGTCTGCTGTCAAGAAAAGACACAAGGGGATGTTTAGGGAATAAATAAAGCATATTTTGAGCCGCCCTGTTGCTAATAAATACAATACAATATGTGTCACAAACAAAACATATGTCTATTATACAGGAAGTATAAACCTAACCTGTTTGCACTATTTCTTTCTGTTTTTCTGTTTTATTGTGTTGCACTGTTGGAGGAGACCTAAGATTTTCATCGTCATAACTACACTGTAGCTATGTACGTATGACCAATAAAAGCTGTTCTCATTATTGGTGAGAATGGCGTGGGAATTTCAATCACAAATCCAATGTTCTATGTTCCCTTCCATGAAATGATGCTGCTTACAATTCTCTTTATTGGATTGTAGTAGTGTATTATCTTTAGAAAAAGCCTTTATTTTCATGGTTACAGCTGTAATAATGGTGGTAGTTAAAAGCTGGAAATGCTTGTGAGGAGCGGAACTTAGCCACTGTGAACACAGGCTTCAACTGAACTGTTCACGGAGCAAGCTAAGTCCTGCCCCTCCATCAAACTCTGGACAGACACATACTGAAAGCATCCGGAGGACTACAGGAGTCCTTTTGATAAGTGTGATTATTCTTTTTCTTTCTGAGAGTCAGATGAAAAGATTGATACCACTCTCATGTGTGCATGGTAAGCATTAAGCTACATCAACAGCCACTTAGTTTAACCTAGCTTAGCAGCTAGCCTACCTAGCAAAACATGTATTTCAGAACAAAAAACAATGAGTCTGTGATATGGGAAGGTATTCATAAGAAGACTTAGCTGTTAATACATACCAAAAATACTCTTAATAAATAATGCATCAAACCCAAAATGTTAAACTATAGTCTGAATTGAAATGTTTCTCAAAGACATTAAGAAAAGGATTAAGATTTCTTGCAGGGCAGCCTTCAGGTGTTGGAGACTGGTGTGGGTTTCAGCTGTAGCTGGTTGGAAATCCCTGGCAATGTGATTTACATGACATCACAACCAAATCACTCTGCCAGGAATCCCTCCAGCTAAACCAACAATTCGGTATGTTTTGGCAGGACGAGAAGGAGGAGTAGGGGAAGGAGAAGAAGAGGGCAGTGAGAGAACGACGAGCAGAAATACAGAAAATGATTCATGTTGTGCTGAAAGAAGGTTACAGGTGAGGGCAAAAGAGAAAGAGTGCTGGCTGCAGGTGTCTATCTGGGCACACATCAGCGTGGCAAAGCACATTTAGTCCCTCATCACTTTGTAATTATGAGAAACTCTCACACACACACTCAAAATGTTACGATATGCACACACAAACACCACGCATGCTTGTGAGCAGAGTTTTCTTTCATTGATGCACCTGGACAAACAACATTTGATGTCCCTAGGCTGCCATTAATAGTTAGTACGTAGGCAGGTGTGTGTGTGTGTGAGTTTGTGTGTGAGTGATTGGTCAAGCTCGTAGAAATCCATCAGTTTTCCATCAGTTTGCTTTCTGATGGCAAACCTGCACTTAAAGCAGACTTGTTTGGAAATGTTGAGAAATGGGATGATGAAGTTTACATGAAAAACGTCCTTACCGTAGTAATACCAGGTATCTGTACCACATTCACTATGTTCTGTACTCCTGCATACCACAATACTTATACTTGCCCCTATACAGATAAGTAAGATAAGAAATAAGATGTTACTGAATATGTGAATTCTTATACTATTGGTCTGAAATACAAACCTGATAGAAAGTGGCTGGCTTGCTCAAACAGACCAAGGTAACGGGAACTGTTAGGTCAACGTGACATCACAATGACAATTCCCCTGAGGTGATTGGAAGGTTATTGAGATCACATGTTGCGCAGGGTTAGGGTTTGGGTAATTAAGAAAAGAAAGCAGCTTGTTTCCCCTCTTGGCCAATCAGTGTGAAACAGAGTCTTTGTTTAGGGCTCAAGACACGTAGATAATTGTACACCCCATTCTGTTCCCTACTCGAATGCACTCCTCATTTCAGCTGATAGTCAGCCAGAGTCTCTGGACTATAGACCTTTTTGAGACTTATTTGATCGCCTAGCTTTTTTGATTTAGCCTTTGTAAGCCTAGAAAAAATAACACATTTCTAGGTCTCACTAGGTTACCTGCATCGTGGCAAATGTATGGAACATATTGGGATTCACTGATGTGTAAGCTGTTTAGCAGCTGGTCTCTTAAAATGATAATATCCTTAACCACTATCTTTATAACCCTGTCATTGAGTCCTTTCTTGTATATAGAGATAGATTTCCCTCCTTTTTTTCACACAATGCAGAATAATTGGTTGCAAAATGCTTCTTTTCACAAAGCATTTGAGCTGCCTGTAAAACAGGAGAAGCACACTAAAGAGCTGATGCAGTTAAGCAGCAGCAACATCAAAAAGGCATCTTGTATTCTGAATTAAACTCAAATGATGATTCACATTTAAGAAAGCAGTTCTAAGACCTTCACAGGTTTTGAAACAAGCGGTCATTATTGCGTTATTATGCTTAACTGTAAGTAAAATAACGACTATCGCCTCCTTACAATGAAAGGACACATGGGATTTCACTACCAGGAAACACTGTTGACATGCTGCATCCCAGAATCAGGAGCAAAGGGGAGCATGTTGTTGGCTTTTGCAAATATTTATCTTAACACAGCGTTTGATAAAACAGAAAATATGAGCAACCGATCCAGAATAAACAAAAGACTTCCTCTCCCGCTGACACTGATATTCTCAGTGACATGTTTCTGTTGCTGCTAGTCATAGCTTTCGAAATTGCTAATGCAGATTTATTTAATGATAGAGAGACTTTGCTTTAACCTACGTAAAGGGCTAAATGGGTGGTTTTGTAGGTTTTTGGGAAGAGTTCTCTGAAGACTCATCTTGAAACAAACCAATGCATTAAATACAAAAATAAAACAAGCAGGTACATAATGGCAACCAACATAATCAAAAAAGTAATTGTGTTATTATTGGGGCAGTTGGGGGGCCTTAATCACATTACCCTTTTTCTCGAAATTCCTATCGTGGAACAAATCTCAAATGAGAAAGTGTGTCTGCTTCTGACTCTGTTGTGTTAATTTGAAACCTGTGTAAACAATCCTGCTATTGATATCTGTGTCTTTTGGTTTCAGTGCTGCAGTAGTTCTCGACTACCTCAAACCTTTTTGTGCTCTGGCACGTTTATTTGGATTCACAGCTGGCTGAAAACAATAGCCTTAAGCTAGTATGTTTCAGGTCTCGACTTTGACAGCCATTCACACAAACTCAATTGCTGGGTGCTGTCTGCCTGTCTGCATCCCTGCTCCCATCTCCCTTGCACCCTCTCCATTTGTAACCGCCAATCTAAAGTGGTATTTCTGGATAGGGATGTGCACTAATGCAGTACCAGTATACTAATGCAGTACCACTCTACCGCATTAATGCTGGAAACCTGCACACATGGGCTTGAGCCTGTACTTCCATCTGCAGGATTTTTTGGGACACCCACACCAAAACAAAGCGAAAGTACATCAATTTATAAGCTGGGAAAAATAAAAGTAACCCTAATTTGAATCCCAAAGGGTCGATCACATGTTTCCAGAAAGTCACATGAAAGTATTAAAATAAAGTCTTACATTTCAGCCAGTATGAAGCTTGTTCACTCCTCGTCTGTCGCTGCCCCCCAGCTTTGGCTGTTTGACAGCTAAATGAGCAACAATTGGCCTGGCGGAGCTCCAGCCCGCCCAAGCCACTCAATAACAGCAGGAAGTACGTTCATGACTAATACCCTCCACTCACTCTTTTCTGTTCTCTCTCATTTTCCATCCTTCACTCTCCACGCTACACATAAGAATGAAGGCACAACTTTGTCCATCCCAACCCATGAAAAAGTTATAGAAGGTGATGAAGAATATGGGTTCCCAAAGTGTGGGAAGGTGAGCCTCCCCTCAGAGAACATAATCACAGCCGCGCCCCCCCCTCCCAATTATTATTGCTATTATTATTATTGTTGTTGTTGCTATAATGCAGGGGTATTCAATTGCATTTCAAAGAGGTCCAGTAAGAGAAAATGTCATAAAATGCTCTGTTTTCGCTACCTTTCTATTTTTTGATTGGCTGAGCATCACCTCCTTAAAACATTAAACAATAGCTTTTTTAAACCTCTTTATCTTTATGTTTTAAACATGTTGAGGTTAAGGATGGCAGCTTCCTCATACGTTGCACTCGGAGATAAATAGTTGGAACGGAGATGTCTTTAGCAGCAGGGAGGAGTAATGTTGTGAGGTTTACCTGCCTTATCCGTAACGCCACTCGGTATGATGCTTCGGTTGCCTTTTTATTCACAGTGCTAAATGTGTCAATGACATTTTTCTGTGACTGCAATTCCTTGAGCTTCCGGTCAAAAAACTCCTGTGGCTTGGTCACCAAACATGGGTGTTTCGTCTCAATATGACGGCGGAGTTTACATGGTCTCATACTGTCATTAGCTAGCACCTCGTTGCAGATAACACACTGTGGCAGTGGAGTGTCATCAGGACCGGTCCATGAAAATCCTAGCTTCAAATAATCATTACCATACTTCCTCCGTTTTCTGACAGACGCTGTCTCCTCTCTCACTTTAGGTAACTTCACTAAAAATCTATCCATATTTTGCCGCTCACATAAAGTTAGCTGAAGTTAACTAGCTAGATTTCACTGTTTCTCTTTATTTTTTTCTGGCGGCTTCCCCCCCCAGGGGAGGCGCGCCTCACACTTTGGGAACCCCTGGAAGGGACTAAATTAGGGTGTTACGTTTGTTTAATCTTCAACTCATGAAAGATTTGATTTACTTGAAGACAGAAAACCACTTTGAATCAGGCTTCAGAGCTTTAACAAAGGCAATCCCATGACATTAGAATCATTCTTCTGAGACCGTAAAAGGAAATCCACAGAAGCCACCATCAGCCACTGTATCCGAAATATTCTCTCACCTTAAATGCCTCAAAAACATGGAGATTGTAACAGCCCCTGAAGCCTGTCTGCTTGGCTATCTCAGCTGAAAATAATAACTGAATCCCTATCGGAAAGTGCTGGCATGTGCTTTTGAATGACAGTTAAAGTTTGCAGAAAATTGCTCTCTCTCGCTGGTAGAAAGGAATGTTTGAAACTGTGATGGCTCCGATTTAAAAGACACCCAAGAATCACCATCTGCCACCTGAAACTGGGAATGCATTACCCCGACACTCCACACAAAGATTGGCCTCATATATGGGAGCCCATAACAATCTCTACTCCTCCTCAGCTTACCTTTTCCCTCTCTAAAGCTAACGCCTAGGGTCCTTCTCTTGTGATTACCCCGTGATTTTACAGCCTCAGCTGCAGTATTTTGGCTAGACACTTTTTTTGGGTCTAAGCCAAGGAGTGGACACACATGATTGGTCAGGGTCTGTCTGGGCTTACACATGGTTGGTTTATCCTAGTTTGACCTGCGGGAATGTGCTAAAAAAAAATTAACTGCAGCTACTGTATGTTCAGATCGCCACTTTGCTCATATTCACTTTCAAGGTTTGGATGAGGTTTTTGTAAGATGATCTTTCGTCAACATCTAAAGCTTCCCTCCAGAGCTGATGGTTAATCAGTGAGTCAGTCAGTGAGTCAGTCAGTCAGTGCAGACAAAGCACTGCGTTTTCGTGAACCTAAGGCAGGGACAAGTTGGCTTTGTGCCCGAGACATAAAGAGAGGACAGACTGATAGGCAGGAAGAGGGGGAGAGTGGGCAGAGGGGCAGACACAGGAAGAGAGAATAGAGGGAAGTCAGAGCGAGAAGACATGACGTATGAGCAGACAGAGAGACCGTAGCAGCTGCAGAGGCCGAGAGATTTGACTTCAGATAGCCTTCAGCTACTTTTCCACAGCAGATTTAAAAAACAGTCATAATCCAGCCTGCATTGCTCGAAAGGATTATCCATGAATTCTCCAGTAAAGTTAATAATAAAAATCCCATTCTGTGCATATCAGTCAAAGACTCCAACATTACTTCTACATCATGTTCATAATAGTTCCCAACCTTTTTGTCAAATGAACATCCCCCGCCGTGCCAAATGAACTCAATTAGTTTTTAATGGACTCCATTTTGTTCCAGCCATTAAAGCTTTTCAACCATTTATTCATCATTTCTTGAACAGTTATTAAATTATATAATCATTTTATTCTCCATTTTCACCAAGTTAAAACTTTAACCAACTTAAGTCCTGATATAACACATATTCATTCATTTTCAGTATTTTAACTCTATAAATGCCAACAAATAATAATAATAATTTCAATACACACTCAATTAATAAACTACTTTATAATATTTTCAATATATCCTCTGGCAACTGCATAAGTACCTCTAGTCACAGCTGTACACTACAGCATGGTGTGTTAAATACATAAATTAAACTATTGTATGTAATTTGACTGTCTCTGACTATCTTATTGACCATTTCAGACGAATAAACTGCTCCAAACATTTTCTTTGATCTTTAAGAAAGAAAACTTCACTGTGTAATTAAAATTCAACATTGTGAGACTGGCTTTTCCTGACATGTGCACTTCAAATGGCACACAATGATTCAATAATAAAATACATGGACTCTTCTGGAATTCTTTAACAATTGAATCAGAACATTTCCCAAAAAAGCTAGACCTTTAATGATAAAGGCTTAATGGTCAGCATGTGTAAAACCAAATGCAAAGGCCTAAAAATAAGCCTAATTACATTTGCCTGTGAAATAAATCAAAAAAACAATTTAGTTGAGGTTTGGCCAGTGCAGCCAAATCACTTCTGCAGAAACTCCTTTCCCACTAAATCTATTACAGGCCAACGGATCTGGATGCAAACCAGCCCTTAAGGACCCCTTAACTTTATTTACTTCTCAACATGGTTCCAGACGGACATAGGCCTTTTCAGCTTTTAAAGGTGCCTCTGTGGACTGAACATCTGGGACTGGAAGACCAAATGAATGCTTTGGGTGCTTGAAATCGAACAGACCCACGATGAAGTCTTATACATTAGCAGAAGGGGTAAAACAAAATGTATTAAACAGCAGGGCTGGTTTCTTAGCTCATATATATTCTATCATATACATGACTTGTATTCGTGAACAAAACTCAAACTGTTGAGTTTCATGTCCTTCAAGGTTGTGTATTCAGTAGTTACAGTGTGTTAGCTGATCAGAAGGTGACAAAATAAAAATGAAAATGTCTTCATAGTTATTAAAAGCACTGACCTTAAAAGAATAGATGGAATACCTATTCATTTTCAATGTGAAATACGCACACAAAGACACAATTAGTAGCCTTCAGCTTGCAGTGAGCGTGCAACCCACTTTGACGCAAACTCAAGATGAGACCAACCTTGAGCCAAGCAGCAGTAGCAGCAATCATACTTTCCCACACATAAATGAAGGTAAAGGGGGTTTATGGGGCTCGGGAAAATACAATAAAAGCCTTTCTGTGAATGAGGCCATCTGTGGAACTTTATAAGAACTTCCTGTAAACAAGACTGAGGAGAACAAATCCTCTCACACTCGTCCAACATGCACTGCCGCCTTTTTAAGCCTTTCATCTTTGTTTTTCGACATTCCCCCCCCCCCCCCCCCNCCCCCTCCTCCTCGCTTTGCTTTTTGCACTTTTAGCTTTCTTTCTCTAAACTCCTCCTTTGTTTCCTCGCAGTCCAATCGTTGTCTTTAGGTCATCTTGCTGATGTAAATGTACTTCTTATATTTTTTCAGCATAACGTTTTTACTTTTTATGATTGCAAATTAAAGAAATTACTAACAATTAATCCTCTATGAAAACTATGACATTTAAACTACTTTTTAAACAATTTTTATCAAGATGTGACCGATTTAATTATGTTATAAATACGAATTAACTGTGAGTGACTTTTATTTAAATACAATTGTAACTCTGGATTCCCTCGTCATTGTTATCCGTGTGAATTATTGTTGGATTGAAGTAATGTAAATCTTCTTGTCTAAACATCCCACTAATTCCAACATTTTTTAAAGCTGGTGTTTATAAACACTGTTAAACAGCCTCATGACATACTTGATTTGGGAGTGCGCTCTCGTGTTTCCACTGAAAATATCAGCCTCAATAAAAATGTAATCAGCAAGGCCTGGACACTCTCAGTACAACTCTATGATGTGTTGGAGTTTATAAGATCAAAAGCTGAGGTAAAGCAGTCGTACACCGTGCTGTGGACAAATTGCATGAAAACTGCTATTTTGTCAAAAAGAAAGTATGAATAAAGATGCAGCTCGAAACATAAATACTACATTTTTAGCGTTAAAACGTTTACAGTAGTGAAATTCAGTTCAAATATGATCAATTGTACTATGCCGTCAGTGAAATAATAAAGCAGAAATTCCCCAAGTGCGTAAAAGTGAACAGACAATAGATACGTCACTTTACAAAGTATTTTCAATTCAAATAAAATGTGTCACGCTGGCATGCAGCAGCTCCTTCCAGTCCTTTGTTCAGTACTGTAGTATGTAGTACTCTCAACACAATATACCTGTGACGTATAAACTGAGGCAGGTGTGGTTGGTTTGGTGTGTTCTGCTTATGTTTTCTGGACAGCATCGGTTGAATTTTTCCACACTAGTAAAGCCAACTGGGCAGCGGTGAATGGGGGGAGTCCATTGTGTGTGTGTTTACGTATGTGTGTAATGCTTAAGTGATGTCAGGTGGAAAAGACTGGAGACTTCCTTCATCTGTGCCAATTTTAAACATATGGCGAGAGGAAAGAAGACAGAGCGAGAATGAAAAAGAGAGAAAGCGAGGGAGAGGAGAAGCCACATGGTCGGAGTTTCCTATTGGGTTTGTCAGTTACCAAATTACATTGGAAAAATAATGTCAATCCAGTTAAAGTTACAGTTAAACATGATCAAGCCGAACAGTGAACATCAAATGCAGCAGCTTCTGATGAAAACTGATTTGTTTATTAATGAAGAAAGAAGAGGGTGGCCAAAGTAGAGAGTACATAACTGCCATAAGTACGGACAACTGAAAAGTAGCAGGGCCTAAAATACGTTCTCAGTTTGAATGGATGAGCCACTTTTATGAACATTTAACCACAACATTTAAGTAGCCTTAACATTCTGAGAGAAGAGCAAACCAAAGCGTGCCACGTACACCATGGATCCAATTAATATGTACTTATCTAGTCAAAAACATCATGCAAATTGGCTTCGCTGATACACTTTCTACATTTAGCGCTAGTCGAAGTGCACATCAGGACACAAACTACAGAAAGACCAAGCAGCATGAAGCGGTAAACACAATCATATTTATTAGAAATATAATCAATTCTAATTCTGGAAAACTGCTGTTTGTTAAAGCTTGAATTTATATAATGTCGTTTTACAATCAACCAACAAACAAAAGAAAGTAACTGAATAAATATGCAGACATATTGAGCAATTTATCACCTCTGAATTAATTCTATTTGACAAGTTTACAAAGCACACGCATATTTTAAACTCTTTAAATAGTGTCATAAATCTCTCTGTAGTCTTTCATTTTCACCTTCCCAACAGCCACCACATACAAACTTCACTCACCTCTGAAACTCTACTGAAGCAGAAAAACTCACACATGTTTGTAAGTAGAGACGGTTAGAGAAAAAAGAAAAACCTGATGCCTCTACACGCTGAAACTGAAAAGATCCAAAAGGTTACGTACATGCTGCCTGCAAAAGCCTCCGAACTCAAGTCCAAGCTCAAACTCTGCTCCGAGCGTTGCTTTGCTCCACCTCCTCCAAACTCCTCTTTAAGTTGAAGGGTGTGGACTGAGTCAAAGCTATGACTACAGAGTCCACATCATTCACACAAGTTGAAAACCACACCCAGTGAGAGACACACACACACACACACACACACACACACACACACACACACACACACACACACACAGAGCAGAAAAGGAAACACTGAAGTGTTCCTTAAATAACAAGGGAGGAGGAGTGAGGAAACTTCTGGTTTCGGGGGTCACCCAGATCCTTGAAATAACCAGGCAGTAGGCTCTGTTATGAGAAGAAAAATAATGACGCCGAGAAGTGGTCGTTTCAGGATGTTTATGTTATTTGGCAGAAGCTCTGTACTTTTTAAGATGGAGGTAGGCGTACGGTGGGCCCTGACGTTAAACATCGGATTATCGAGATAAAAGGGATTAGTTTGTGTGCGTGTTTGTGTGTGTTCGTGCCTCCACACGCTCCTCTGTGTCTGCACGTTCGCCGTGTACATTTGCGAACATGTGCATACGTTCATGTGTGTTTGAGTAGGCTGCGGCCTATAGTTTGGGCTGCCTGCCCCTCCACGCTGATGGCTTGCAGCTGCCATCTCTTTCCTGTCTGAGTGGGTATACAATCCTTGCTATAATGCAGTAATCATACAGTATGCCTACATCTGTTTGGTGTTAACCAAACATGTGTGATCCCAGAGCAATTCTTCTGCCGCTTCCATTTATTTGATCCAACTTTATTATAACATAACATAGGGCCCTTTTGGTATAGCCGTTTTTGTCCAAAAGGGGGTTCCACAATGTTTTGGGTGCAAAGTATGGCTTGAGGGGACTCAAACTCCTGTTCAGGGCTGCCTTTTAACCTTGGTTAAATAGGATAGTTTCACACATCTTTGGTTCAAAGTCATCAAAACTCCCATGGGACAGATCCATAGAAAAGTATTCCATGTGTTTAAAACGAGTTCTGTTTAAATGGACTAAATATAAACCCTACATTTGGCAGTGTTTTATAGTTTTTTTTATAGCCATCAAATCACAGACCTCAACCAACAATGTGTCACTCTGTCTCTTGATACTTTCTGATTCCTCCTGACTGTCTGTGGGAAGCGTTCCTACTGAGGACATGTAGAAAATACAAATTCGGTCTTGAAATTATTTTCAGGGGAGGTTTAATGCACATTTGGAGTGGTGTATGTGAGACTGACTCAAATGTAACAATGATTACTGTAAAGAAATAATGTGTTACTTATGTCACAGCTCATTTTAATGTTTTTTTAAGCTTATGGACAAACATGGAGCTCTATCGTTAAGGGATACGTTCCTGCATCTTTTCTAGCCTTACTTAAAAATAAAAATAAATGAAAATAACGTATACACTAAACTTAAGGTGAAATACTTACATTCTTATATAATATAATATAATATTATACAACTTTATTCTTAACTTCTCATTTTTTTTCAGACCTCACAAGGAAAAGGCTGACAGGCAACTTTGTAGCTAAGGTGTGAAAACAAACAACTCCTTTCCTAAACTCATTTGTATTTCCTTTTCAAGGATTTCCTCTGGATGATGTTAACAAAACAATTGTTGCAAAGTTCATACATGCAGCATTTAAGGAGTAATCATTCATAAAAATTGCCATCGAAACCAGCGGTGGTGTTTGGAAAAGAGCCGAGCGATGTTTGTCCATTAGTTTCTATTTATGGCCAAATATTATGTTGCTAGGGAACAGCCAGCTCTATCAAACTTATCAAATGTACATTAACAGTTCGTTGAGCGGCAGCAGCACATATGCCAAATCTCATCATTTCCCCTCTTAGAGAGCTTGTGACACGTCGACACACAAAGACATGTTCCAGAGAAAGATGCAGAAGCCGACCTCCATCAGCGATACCGAAGCCACACAAACTCCAGTAAATTGTGTTTATTCGTCTGCCTGGGGTAATTTACTGTGGCTAAATGGATGCTGAAGTATTGACAAAGCCTTTCCAAGGAGCCATATAAAGTGTTATCTCACAAAAGAGGGCTCTAAACACAAAGTATAAAAAAGTCTTATTTGGTCTGGCAGGTTACCAAGACGGCAAGTGAAAACAAAGGCTGCCTACGTACGCACACACACTATCAGTGACAAGAGAGAAAAGGACTTCCAGACAGGCAATCCCAGCAGAAACACTTTCACCTGTGCTGCACATGAGTATGGAAGAGCAAGCTTTTTATTTCCTTTGATATTTTCATTAAACGTTTCCTTGCAGATTCACACAGTTGCACATCTTTGCTTTAACTGATGCTATTGAGGAAGCATGAACACTACACTGTGTGTGTTCGTGTTTCCCTGTGTGTGTGTGTGAGTCATCCCAGAGTGACCCCACCCTACGTAGGCGGTTGATTTGGCGGGCCGGGACTATTTGGCCTCTGTCAGTTTGCCGGTCCCGACTGAACTGCTCACATAACTAGCCTCTTTGTTCCTGATGTCGCTCCTCTCAGAGGAAGAGAAGGGATCCCATCGCTGCCTCTCGCGCTCTTTCCTGTCTCTTCTCTGTTGCTCTGTGTCCGCCATGAATGAGTCCAATCTATACAATACTATAATGATGGCTGCCTGCCCCTGGAGGAGTTATACACATGTTGCAATAGCATCATTTTTATATGAAATCAAGCGGCCTCTGGGATTGTCTCTGGAGCTCATTAATCTTCACAGTATTACAATTTGAAAATCATGTGCATCATCTGTGTTGCAAAAGAAAGGACATGTCTGACTAGCAGGGACGTGCACAGACATTTTGGGCGGCAGGTGCTCAAGTGAGAAAAAGGGCACTTCCCATAATTATTTATAAAAAAATGTAAAACAAAAAGTTAAATATAGTTGCACATCTCTGACTTACTGACCAATTTATTTGAATGCCCTCACACTCACGCAATTGTTTAATACTCAACAGATTTCTACAAAATAATCAGCTGACACAGAGTCAATGCATGGTCTTCTTTATTCACTACGCACAAGAGCAGACAACAAACTAGTACAATTAATAGTTATTAAATGAGCAGCCAACAATCAAAAACATCAGAACTTTAGTCTAATCTCCCGACCTGATATTTTTATTTTGTATTCAATCAATATATTTTTGGAAAGGGAAACTGTGCACAAACAGCAGTAGATATATATTCATTTATTTAAAAAAAAAAAAGGGGGGAAAAAGGGCACTTTCTCTGGAGGAAGAAAAAGGGGCTCAAGCCCACTTTGATGTCTATGTGTGCACGTGCCTGCTGTCTAGTATAATGTGGAGGGAAAGCCTCCTTTTTTAATTATCTTGTTGGTATTTCCTTTTGTCTTTACTTCCTGGTGGACATTACCAAGTGAAAGTGTGCTTGTGTGTTTGAAGTGTTATGCTCTCATGTAGGAAAATCAGTATTTGGAAAGTGTGTTGTGCCATATCTGTTTAAAACCACTAATGATGTTTTACATTAAATTANTCCTTCAGACTTCCCTTTTCCGCCTAAAAAAGGTCAAAAACATGAAAGTTTAGATCGCGTGAGCCGACCGAAGAGGTTTTCCCCACGGCTCCTCCAACACACACGAACGCACACATGACCAATGAGGGCACGAGATAAGTTTGTGCACAGATGGAAAGCTGACAGGCAGGTAGGCCATCCAGTTATTTTAGCCGGGCCGGCTAAAATGATTGGTCGTGCTTTTTACATTACTACGGCTTCCACAGATGACATTTTTTTAATATATTTATTGTCAAAGCATTTCATATATTCATTGCTATCGGCATGTTAAGAGCATTCCATGGAATATAACAAAAAGTGTCTCTGAAATAAATTACATACCCCACCTTTAACAGACACCCCTGTAATAACAAAATTATAATGTGATTAATTCTTGTATTACAAGATGGGGATGATTAAGGCTAGCATGACTCAATTGTTAGGACAGTCAAGCCAACGAAGCACAAAAACATTTTGACAAACTGCAGAACAGGTGTGGCCTTCATTACTCGAAACATGAGAGATGTCTCTTTTGAGAACAGCTCGAAAGATTTACATGACTGAGGAAACGTCATACAAGAAAATAACAAGCAAAATTAGTGCAACATGAAATCATTATCTTGATGCCTTCAGGCTGATCATGTTCAAGTGAAAATTTGTGAGCAGAGTTAATGACAGCGCTGGAAAGTAACTAAGTACATCTACTCATGCACTGTACTTAACTCCACTACATGTATTTAATACCTTTAGGTACTTTGCAGATTTGGATTAATGATGTGAAATATGATCACAGTAATTCAAACTGGCTGCACCTTTACCAGCTTTTATAAACACTTTACTGCTTCAATAATTATAATCAAAACATAATATATATTATTCTGTAATGGACCAATACGCAAAATTAGAACTTTTACTTCTGGTACTTTAAGAATACTTTTGTACTTTTACTTTAGTAACATTTTGAATGCAGGACTTTTTGAGTATTCCTTCACTCTGTTCTTTTTACTCAAGTACAAGATCTGAGTACTTCTCCCACCTCAAGCAATATTTGAGTAATCTGATGTAGATCCAAGGTGAACACAGTCCCCTCACGATGTGAGGGTCTAAGGACAGAGGGCGTCGTATTGTCATACTGATATTCTGTACAAACTGTGAAGACCACTGAGACAAATGTAACATTTGTGATATTGGGCTTTATAAATAAACATTGATTGATTAATTGATTGATTGATTGATTGATTGATTGATTGATTGATTGATTGATTGATTGATTGTTTGATTGATTGAACATAGTAGTAGTTGCAAAGAAAAACGAACATTAATCATATAATAGTAAAATCCATGTTGGCTTGGTCGATTTCATTTCATACAGTATGGTTTGTATTGTTTTACGGGGTTCGTTTTTTTCGAATGGATCAGTTACATATTGTTAGACAAACCGTGTGCATTTCACTTGTACTCATGTCATATCATACCTTTTAATTCAGATTTAACAGGGAAAACTGCAAAGCATGTCAGC